CTCAAACCCAAGCGACTCATTCGATGAAGGAACTCAGGAGCCGTCACGTAAAAAATCTGCCTGTGCTCTGGCTCCATGTACATCGAATACGCATTCATCGATTGGAGCATTCTATATGAGAACAATTAAACTATATTTGATTACAAAGAAAAATAAGTGTCACTCATGAGAAAAAATACACCTACAGACAAAGGGCTTCATATTGGTAACGAATACTGGTGCATTCCAATTTGGGATGTTTCGGAGAAAAAGATTGGATTGAATTGAATGTTGCCTGAGAAACTCGAAAGCAATAAACAAACTCGGATGCATCCAAGAGAAATTTGGACACCTTTAAGGACACTTTAATTGCTGAGAAAAATTTCGTGGCATCGGCTAAGCTCGAACGCAAGACTTCTTGCACATTAGCAACCAAACGATTAGAGATTCCATGCAACTGCCAGGGTGGAGTCTCATCATTATCGGCTAATTAAAGAATTTAACATGAAAGTAAAATAAAATAATTACATATCCATAAGTTTTGCATCCAGGAGTAGATAAACTGCTGCTGGTCTCTACAATTCACTTATCAATATAGATTATAACTCATACCTTGCTAAATCGAAAAGGCATTCAAAGACGCGCAAATCAGCAAGAAATACTCGAACAGATTCTAAACTTTCAGCAGCCCGTTCGTGTTTAATATATTCGGTATGGACCATAGGGAACCAAAAGACATAAAAATTCTAAAAGCGTCATTAAATTAATATGAGACAAACAGTCAAAACTAGAGTAGTTAAAAGGTCCCTAGACGTAAAGAGATTGTCCATTTCATTAATAACCGTCGGCGATTGAGGCAGGTATAAAGTACTTATTCGTTGAAGCGTGCAGTTATCTTTCAAGAACAACTTCAAAAGCCTGTCAGAAATCGGACAGACTTTTAAGGAACCATAGAAAGTATCGATATTTCTTGAAGTTTGGTAGTCTGTAGGATGGAAGAAAGTGTCCATATCCTTCATTGTCTTGAAGGGTAACAATTCTTTCATTTGCAAATAAAATATTTCGATTTTTTGGTTCAGAGAAATTTGTGCCTCTATTTTCTCGGTTAGGAGAGACTGAAGACTAGACAGAATTGACTTCATCTGCACACCACGCTAGTTCAGGTCCTCGAACTGGAGCTTTTAAACGTGTCGACTCACCTTAAAATTAAATATTAGCACGCTAAAACACATTTCCAGGAACTATGCAAATTTAGCCCACGCTAATTCTAATTCTCTAAAGTCATTTTTAAATTCCTTTTCACTTGTATTTTAGATGTTAGTTATTACTTACTACTTAATTTACTGCAAACAGTTAATATATTAACCACGTTTAATCGTTAATATTGCAAAAGGTGCTCGCGGCCGTTTCTATTTGATAACTTTCATCTTATAAAAATCTTCACTTTACCATGAGTATGTAAGAGACTGAATCTGTTTAATAGACTGTAAATAACTTGATTCAATATCGCTGTTGTCCACGTGAATATCTAACGAGTCAAGGAATCATGAGATTGGTACCCACCGTAGTTGTTGGCTAAATACGAGTTTCTCATCAGGGCTGACTGCGTTAAAAGGCTTCTATTTTGATTTGTCTGATTAACGTGACCGATTTGGATATTAGAAATGAGAGATTTGAAGTAATAATGCAATTAATGTTAAGGTGAATCATTACTTAACACAGGAAATGATTGCAAAAAAAACTAAAAAGCTTGGTCAATGTTAGGTGAACTCAAGTTGTCATTGATTTATTGCAAGCCTCCCAGCATTACCGGCTTTACTAACATCGGATTAAAGTATGATAGATTCGGATGTAGAATATTTATTTAAGGAGTACGCAGTGATAGCAGAGTAAATCCAACGATTCTGGTAGTCAATCCATCTTCTGGTTACAAGTAGGCGGTAAGATGGTAAAACCGAATTCAATCTTTCTAAGAACGCACATCTCTTTCCTCTTCAATACTGCCTCTTCAGGGCATACGTTTTGCATACTGGCAATTTCATCATTTCTCATTTTAAATTTAGGTGAATTCGGTTAGGCACATTGTCGGACATTTTCCCAACATATCTTAGGCCCTTTTAACAAATTAACCTTCATGATATCTCAAACTCGAATGTATTTGCCAGCTTCTCTCTGATTTTTCTCTAGTGGAGATGATTCGAATATGCTTCGATTTTCATCCGAAGTAACAAATGAAATTATTCGAGAAAAACAATTTAGTAATAGGTAGGAATGTCATGTAATAAGCATTCAGTTTGAGTTAGATAAGAATAAATGTGATAATTTTGTGTCTTCTTATCCAATTTTAGTCAATTAATGGTAGTCTTTCACTATCATTTGGATCGCTCGGATATCACAATAAGCAGAGTAATTCATGCTTTTAATGATTATAATTTGGTGTGCGCAGTAGACTTGCCTTCACGTGGTGCACCCTGGGCAACGTATACTTATACGGCAAAAAAAGTCTATCAAACCGCCAGTTGACTTTGACTTCAATTACCATGATCTATTAACTGGCAGTTGACTTCTCTATGTCATATTCGTTATATTAACTGGCAGTTGACTTCTCACTTCAAACTACCCAGTCTATCAAACCGCCAGTTGACTTTGACTTCAAACTACTATGGCCCGACTATTTGTCATCTTCGACCCCTTCCACAGTACTCATCTTACCTTTTTATGCCTTGGTGTCTGTCTGTCTCTTTTACCTCTGTGAATCATTATTCTGTCTTCCATCTCGACTTTTTGTCACTTTAATGTTCCTCCTCCTCCTCTCTGTGAAGCCCCGAAGTCAGCTCCAGGGCTAATGATAACCATCATAACGCCTGCCATTTGATATAAATAAATAAAATGATTATAATTTTAACTGGTCATTTGCGATTCCGTTATAATTCATACAATGAATAAGGATACAATTTTATATATTGGGTCTTATAGTACTCAGCTTCTAATTTAAGAAAACAAAAAGTATGACTATGACCTCACGAGGATAGGGGAAGACTTCTTTTGTGGGCTAACTTATCCTGTGGCAAGAGTAGAAATTCAACAATCGATAGCTCAGTCACTCAGGAATTGAGCATACGCGTTGTACACTGGTACGTCGATAAGATTCGTCGCGGTTTCCAAACTGGTGGAAGTAGGATTGTTTGAGTGATGTAGGGAATGCTTTGGGCAGCGAATACGTCTGGCTGTTCGCGAGTACATCAGTTTCACAGTTGCCACTTGGATGTAATTGGGCTGATCAATGGTTCTCCGAAGAATTAAGGTACGATAAACGGATTTGATGATTGAGAAATCGGTAATGGTTAGCAAAGTCAAAGTATAGTACCCATTTTTCCAATATCAGTGAGTTCGCATTTTTTGCTCCCTCAAATCTTTGAAATAATGTCTCCCAGTGGCCCTAGTCTGCATTTAGCCACCATCGAATTTCCGGTATGGGCACATAGATCAACTTCCATGGCTTGCTCCAACATTCGCC